ATGAACCTGTATGACGAAATCAAATATAACAGCACATGCTCCGGTACGTTTCCATGGTAAATGGAAAACAGGTCAGGTGTTGTTGCATGTTTCCATGATTGTTCAGATGCTTGTTTTTGTGAGAGTAAAATTAATGAAATCAGCTTGCTAAGGAAGCAACCATAACACACTTTGAGTACAGGATAGCTTACTACTTGGATCAAGTGTTGTTTATGTCAGTATTTTGTCTGATAAATCTGACTGGTGTACATTGGGTATATGATGAAACCATCATCAAAAGGATACGAAGCCTTTGCACTTCTTTTCTTTTTCCTCTGAAACCTCTTTGCCAACTGAGCAAATTTCTTTTTAGTAGCTGAAAAAGCAAGTGTGTACAGGATCCTTTGAGTGAAAGAACAATATACCTATGGGTGACAACACAGTCCTTTTTCAATGTTTTTTTTTTTAATTTGAGAAGCAGTCATAGCATCTCTTGAGGCAGTGTAGTTATTTGAATGCATTATCATAATTCAAGAAGCAGTCACAGCATCTCTTGAGGCAGTGTAGTTATTTGAATGCATTATCATAATTCAAGAAGCAGTCACAGCATCTCTTGAGGCAGTGTAGTTATTTGAATGCATTATCATAATTCAAGAAGCAGTCACAGCATCTCTTGAGGCAGTGTAGTTATTTGAATGCATTATCATAATTCAAGAAGCAGTCACAGCATCTCTTGAGGCAGTGTAGTTATTTGAATGCATTATCATAATTCAAGAAGCAGTCACAGCATCTCTTGAGGCAGTGTAGTTATTTGAATGCATTATCATAATTCAAGAAGCAGTCACAGCACCCTCAAGAGTTAGTACTTACATTTTCCCATGTGTAACAATTTATCTTTGAATGCTGGGTCTTCAGAGTTACCATAAGCACCTGCCATATCTGGACTGCCACCAAAAGCACAAGTATTGAACTGATTTGTTTGAGAAGACACACTGCCATTTGTTGCTGCTCTCTGATCTAGGAGTGAACAACAAATACAATAAAGTCATCAAGTCAATAACAATAACAATAACAATTAAAAAAAACTTTGATTGTGAAATTGTGTTTACCAATATATGTAATACATTTTGCATTACCTATATGTGAAATAGGTCAATGTATTGCCAATAACAGGAAAAAAACATATTTTTCACTTTATTTTGTTGAGACCCAAAAAAACCCTTAAAACCTTTGTCACCATTCACAAATTACAACCCACATAATTGTTTTCATAGGCAAAAAATGATTAAATAATTAATAAATATAAAAATTATATTATGTATTGTGCAGTACCTATATGTGAATTTTAAATGAAGGTGAGTAATGTATTGTCAAGAACAGACAAAAATATATATTTTGAACTGAATAGATTACTTTGTTAGACTTTGATTTAAACAATTATTTCTATCAATCATTTATTTTGCAACGTCTATATGTAAAAATGACCATAGACACATCTCTATCATAGATGCTACTACATGTAATAGAACAAATATGGTATTTATAAATGTAGTTATGTAAATGATTTCTGAATCAGCTGTCAGGCATATATACTATTATCATAGTATGATGCAAGACCAAACGGATTCTGATTAGAATACTGGGATATAACCAAGTACATATAGGTAACATTAAAGTGTAGAATATGATATACATGCATATGCGTAATTTCAATGCAATCATTTATTTTCAGTATCAAAATTACTGAAAAGAATTGCCTAATTCATTTTATCTTATTTTTCAAGTTTTAAAATTAAATGAGATAACAGTTTACAAGTACCAGTAATTTTATATTTTCCAAATTTGGAGAGGATTCTCCAAATAAACAAGTTTTATGTTGTATTCATTTACATGTATTTATATCTAACCTCTTTCCAAAGAAGCAATGAATTCTGGGTGGCGTTGTAAATCTGATAAAAACTCTTCATTTTGCAGCATTATTGCTAACTGCTCATCTTCCAACATTTGTTTTAATTCCACATCATCATTGTCTACCTCACTGCGCTGTTGTCTGTTCTGTTCCAACTGTTTCTGCAATTGTACTGTGACCATTGGCTGTGTGGAGAATGATATATCACAACACTATACATCTATTTTGGCCAGACAGGACAATTTGGTACAGTTCAGTGATTGTAAACCACTGTATTGTACTCATATGAAGATTGCAAACTACACACTTATTCCTATGGATACTGTAAACCACACAATTGTGTTCATATGAATACTGTAAACTACACACTTATATTCATATGGAGATTACAAACCGGACTTGTATTCATATGTAGATTGTAAACCACACACTTGTATTGACATGTAGATTGTAAACCACACACTTGTATTGACATGTAGATTGTAAACCACACACTTGTATTGACATGTAGATTGTAAACCACAGACTTGTATTGACATGTAGATTGTAAACCACACACTTGTATTGACATGTAGATTGTAAACCACACACTTGTATTGACATGTAGATTGTAAACCACACACTTGTATTGACATGTAGATTGTAACCACACACTTGTATTGACATGTAGATTGTAAACCACACACTTGTATTGACATGTAGATTGTAAACCACACACTTGTATTGACATGTAGATTGTAAACCACACACTTGTATTGACATGTAGATTGTAAACCACACACTTGTATTGACATGTAGATTGTAAACCACACACTTGTATTGACATGTAGATTGTAAACCACACACTTGTATTGATATGTAGATTGTAAACCACACACTTGTATTGATACGTATATTGTAAACCACACACTTGTATTGATATGTATATTGTAAACCACACATTAGTATTCATGTATGGATTGTAAACCACACTTTTATTCCTATGGAGATTATAACCACCCATTTGTATTTATATGCAGATTATAAATGTTCACACTTGTATTCATGGAGGCTTTCATAATGGTCAAGGGCCAAGGGAATTGGTGCCACTGATGGTTCAAGACTACACATATCAATTTTTTGCATTTTGAGAGTACACTGTACAATGTAAATTCACAGTGCATTCACAAGGATTACAGTGTGTCTACTCAAGTAAATATTTACAGGACAGCATTATATAATCCTCTATCTCCCAAGTCTTACTTACTATGGTGCATCATTTGTCAGTCCCTCAGTCTGACAGACATATCTGAAGTCTAACTTACTACATGGCAACTATAAATCTATTGGGAATTGTACCAAGTACCACTTAGTGAGAAATTGGTATTTGAACACCCCCAGGGAGAAAGTAAACAATCTATGCTGATATGCTAGGAGATCGCAAAGCAAACATACTTAGCATCATTTGACAGTGTAGAGCAAAGAAAGACACAGCTTTTTGGTGCTCCTGTTCGATACTTTTTCAGCATTGTGATACTGACTGAATTCAACTTGAGCCATGGGCAAATCAAGTAAGTATAAATTGGGTTGTTTTATAACTTACTATGTTCAAACTGGGCCGTCTTTGCTAAAAATGAATTGAACTTGAACGAACTTGAAACTTACTAAGTTCAGATTGGGTAGGCATAGCTACAAGTGAATTCAATCTGAATGGTTATAAATTATGATGGAGTTAGACTTGGGAGTCTGCAAATACAAATGAATTCAGCTTGATTTGTCATAAATGCTGAATGAGTTATATTTGAGTTGTCTGCAGATAAATGAAATGTAATTGCATTGGGCTTGGCAAACTATAGGTTGACCCTGAAGGTCTCATGCCACTAATTAACCAATGGCTGCTCGTAGCCCTCAATTTAAATGCCTAGCAAGAACCAATGAAATTTTTTAAATATTATTTTTCTCAGGTGCTCCCTGTTTGAGGGCGTAATCACATGGGTCAGAGGTGAGACCAACATGTGGTCTTTTGTTTACTACTTAGCGGCTGTGTACCTGTGGGTATATTGTGTGTGGGAATGGATGTTCTAATCTTGGTGTTTTTCCAGTGATTTCTCTTGGTGCAATCCAAATACAGTAGGTGTGTCTTGTTTACCTGAGATTTGCAAGAGTTTGAGCTGGCCAACATGTTAGTTTTTTTCATATGGTTGATTACTGGCATGTTGATTTCCCATTTTTGAGCCATATTTTCAACTTTCTTTGTCATTTTCATATAGCAATCTCGTCATATGTTAACATTGTCGTCTATGGAAATTCAATTAGTGGTATGAGTCCTGAAATGCGACTCTGCTCATAATTTAGGCTAGTCTGTTTGCATTGCAAATAAACAAAGTGGACTAATGCATTATATAACTTGGGTGACACTGAAATGTGACTTGGCTTGCTGTACATAACTTTGCTTCACAACATTTACTGTAAATAAGAGTAAATTTTGCAGAAGTGTTAAGTAAATGACTACATGTATCTTTGGAATTATGGGCTAATGTAGTTTTATTATTACTGTCTTTGCAGACAGTCCACTAGTCCCAAAGTCCTTGCATGAAATATGACTTTACAGTGCCTGTGCAATGCCCACCCACACGTTTACCATTTTAGATCTGCGCCCCACTGAAATGGGCAGTTATTGATTTTTTTTGCTGAAAATGATTACTCGTATCCAAGTAAATTTGAGATATTTCCCGTGCTGTAGCCACGTCCATCTACCCTGAAACAGTCGGCTGTTTCCGGTTTCCTGACTCTCGTTGAAAGTGCGCCACCAAATGCTAAAGTATGAGAGGAAGCCATACCCCTGGGCCGTACTTTTATATCACTGTGTCATTCAACATACTTTTAAACGATATACATTTTTTGATCGGCTTTTCATTTTTTTGTCTATTTTATTTTATATTTGAGAGAGAGAATTTGTAGAAGCTTTTTTCACAACAAACATATATGATGGTTAAACGTTGTGTTGTGGGCGGTTGAAGTAATACGTATAGTCATAGTGTAAGTATCTACACGTTTCCAATAGATCCGAAGGTGCAAAATCGGTGGACGAAAGCAGTAAAAATAACAAGAAAAGGTTGAGGTGGACTTCCTCCTTACAGCGTCCTATGTATATAGTGTCCACTTCACCTCAGATTCTTTTTATTCTTTGAAAAACTGTCCTTGCATGTGCATGACAAAACAACTTGGTTTTAACGAGAAACGTCGACAACTTAAACCTGGCGCAATACAAAACGTTTTGAAAAATGAAAAAAAAAAATTCCAGACCAGCCCATGATCACTGAGGCGGATTTCAGAAGGGTAAGTGTTTCAAATGATTCAACTTTTTTTGTGATCCTGATTATCGCTTTATAGAGACCACCCGTGTTATGTAAAAGGTAGCAGTAATTTTGATAGTGACACGAAAACGAAGCGTCAGACAAACAGTAAATTACGCAGCCCTCAGGTTTTCATTTTCGCAGACTAATTGTTCGGTGATTGGTGTTGAATGTCGAATTCACACCATTGTTGCCTTTACTTGCAGCTTGATCTGCGTAATAATCCGTGCTTGGGCTGTCAATGTGTTTCCCCCAAGTATTTTTTAATATGATGTTGTATGTGAGTCGCTCTCAATTATTTTTGTTATCCAATTAAACGCCGCCATTCATGCACTTGTCCCTGTCGTGACCTGACGCGTTCATCGATTAATTAATTTAGTAACTGATTTGTCTTTTTTTTAATTATTATTTAATTATATCTATAATTTAATGTTTTAGAATGTCAAAATATGTTCTCTTTTTATTTTAATTTTGAATGTTTTTTTTTTACTCAGACGATCGATAAAATAACATGCCTAGAAACCTGCTAAATAACAAGATGATTCAGGCGTCAAATTTGATTTTGTCCACTGCCGGAGTCCAGCGACAGTGTACAAACGTGCGCCTGGTGACTGTGGCGACCACGGTGACCAGCTACACCAGACCGGACATATTTCGCATCTGACTCAACCCCATGCAACAAACTTGATGCTATGTGTTCATTATGGTCCATTTCTCCTCGACGAACAAGTACATGTACAGAAGTGGCAATTTAGTCAAAGATAAGAAAACCGCACAAGAAATTCGCCTTATTTACACGTATGAGCAATGCAAGCTACCCACCAACTTCCCCTTCTGACGTCACAAGGGGAATTTCTGTATCCAAATGAGAAGCTAATGAGGAGCAAAATACACAAAAATAAAGTTGCCGTAGACTGAGTTTAAAACGCATTTTTTCACTTAAAAAAATAATTTATGCTTAGAAACATAACAATTAATAATATTTATGTATCAATGGATAATTTTAGGAGTGAAAATAGCAGCCATTTCACAGGCACTTTAAGAGATGTGTCTTCATTGAAAATCACTGACCAAGAACGTGATCTCATTACAGAAGTGTCAAAAACCAGATCTGGCAAAGTGAGGGTGAGGAAAGTAGATTTGCCAACAGCAATCATAGACATGATTATATAGGTGATAATGATGAGCCTCACTCTTCACATACTTCTAAACATAGAAGAAAAAGGAGAAGACAACAGAAAACAAGAAGTAGTGGCAATGGCACTAAAAGCACTAGTTCAAACCATTGATAAAATAGTTGGTGAGGGCAAAAAAGATGAGGATGATGACATGGTTGAGGGTAATGATGATGGTATACAGCAGGATGATGACATGATTGAGGGTAATGATGATAAACAGCGGGAAGATGGCAAAATTGAGGGTGGCGATGATGGTATACAGCAGGATAATGACATGGTTCGGGTAATGATGATGGTAAACAGCGAGAGGATGGCAATGGTGGTGATGTTGGTATACAGCAGTATGATGACATGGTTGAGGGTGATGATGATAAACAGCGGGATGATGGCAACATTGAGGGTAATGATGATAAACAGCAGGATGATGGCAATGTTGAGGGTGGGGATGATGGTATACAGCAGGATGATGGTAACATTGAGGGTGGTGATGATGGTATACAGTAGGATGTTGGTAACATTGAGGGTGGTAATGATGGTATACAGTAGGATGTTGGTAACATTGAGGGTGGTGATGATGGTATACAGCAAGACAATGGCATTTTTGAGGGTGATGATGATGGTATACAGCAGACTCAGACTCAGACTCAGAATAATGATGAAAGTGACCTGTAT